ACACACATAGAAGAAGGTAATTAAGGTGGAGTAGAAAAGGGATAAATGGAGGGGGGGCCTTCTTGTCTTTGACTCTATCCAAGTCCTTTTCCATCTAACTCATCTCTTCACTCACAAGCTAATCATATCACACACACACACACACACACACACACACATATATATATATATATATATATATATATATTATAAAATATATTTGCTTCCACTTCACACAATTATCTGATCATCTATATATCTTCATTTTTCCACAGTAGTCTCCATCAATATTAATTCCTAAGACAATAATATTTAGCATTATATTATATTGGTCTGAAATGAGGAAGCCATCGGCCGCAACCGATCATATAAATGCAATAAATATATCGACGAAGCCGGAAAAGAATTCATCCGTTGTTGTTAAGACAACGATGAAACTTCGAAAGGGGCTTTGGTCACCGGAAGAAGACGAGAAGCTGATAAAGTACATGTTGATAAACGGACAAGGCTGTTGGACCGAGATTGCTCGTAACGCGGGCCTACTGAGGTGCGGAAAGAGCTGCAGATTGAGGTGGATTAATTATCTCAGGCCCGATCTTAAACGCGGCGCCTTTTCGCCTCACGAGGAACAACTCATCGTTCACTTGCATAGCATTCTCGGCAATAGGTACTCTCTCTCTCTCTCTCTCTCTCTCTCTCTCTCTCTCTCTCTCTCTCTCTCTCTCTCTCTCTCTCTCTCTCTCTCTCTCTCTCTCTCTCTAACTAGTCGAAAAATGGAAAGGAACAAACTCCGCGAGTGAGTTATATATCTAGAGTAAAATAGGTCTATTTGTCTTTGGATTATGCTAATAAAATAAAGTTTACGATAAAAAATCGACCAATATAATTAAGCACCTGAATGCCTTAGCTCGATATGAAAAACGAAACCGTTATAGATTCTTTTTTGGAATGCGTACTCTTTAAGTAATTATCATGCATGGTTCATGCATATATATAATAATATATTGAACCAATTATATATCTTATGTATACAATGTTGATAATTTTGCGACGATTTCGAATTTGGATGGATAGGTGGTCTCAAATCGCGGCACGCCTTCCGGGGAGGACGGACAACGAAATCAAGAACTTTTGGAACTCCACCATTAAAAGGAGGTTGAAGAAAGATCAATGTTTTTCTACTACTAATAACAACTATGGCAATAATAACATCTCTAACACTACTACTACATTATCATCGTCAAATTACAAGAGCGACTCGTCATCAGGTAATAATAATAATATTGCTGGTCTTGGTCGTGCCGCGACGGGATTTGGAGATACGTTAATTTTCATGCAAGAAATCTACGACGACCCCGTTATGGGTGGTAGTATCACCGACTTCAGAAACCCTAATTTCACGAATAATCCGACAGTTGGTGATGATTACAATATTAACAATAATTTCGAAGACATTTTCGACGTGCAGAATGGTTTGGTGGGGTTGGAAAATGACGTTTCTGCCCCTGGATTGGAGGTGGTCATGCAGCAGCAGAAGAATTATGGTGGTTGTTGTGAATTAAGGAAGAGTACTAATTATAATCATGTGGAAGAAGAATTATTGGTTAATGATGGGATTAATGATAATTGGGATGAATTAGGAGAAAGTAGCTTCAAAATGGGAGAATTATTGGATGATTATAATTGGGAGGGTTTGTTGGCTAATCTCTCCTCCTCCTTACCTAACAATTACCACCTTCATCTCCATGTTGATCAATAATCTCTCTCTCTCTCTCTCTCTCTCTCTCTCTCTCTCTCTCTCTCTCTCTCTCTCTTGTAAAAATAAAGTACTTGTTCAATTTTTGTGCCTTAATTACTTTTTGCTTATATAGATTAAAATGTTATATATAGGTAGTCGTCTTAATTAATATGAATTTTTTCAACTTTGTACTTAGTTCAGCAATTGTATTAATTAAGAAAAAGAAGAATGAAAGAATGTTTTAGTAGCAAATCTAGCTTCAAGCAGATGTTTACTGTTTTTAATTTCATGTTATTATTATTTTATATATATATATATATATATATATATATATATATATATATATATATATATATATATATATATATTCTCAAGTTGGATAATAAATAACAAAATGTGATTAATCACTACTAATTAAATAAACACCACCGTAAGTTTGTAGGGACTCTTGGCAAATTAAATTAAAGTATTTCTTGAGAAATAAAGAGGAATAATATCATGACATAATCTAGTGCACCTATATGATTTAGCAGCGGTTTCGATTACCGAAAAAGAAAAGAAAAAAAAAACATTGGAATATGAGAGATCAAGAATGATTTCGTTGAATAGTCAAACTACAAGATGCACAAACCGAATTCAATAAGAAGTTCAAACTAAATTTAAAATATGCCAAATTTTATTTTGACTCATGCATGTGTCAAAAGGAGCACTCGTGTGCTATTATAGCTTTGTTTAGGCATCGTTCGATAGAATTAAGTAATAAATATCGAATAAATATTTGAATGGCTAAGAGTTGCATCTGAATGATGAATTAATGTTGAATAATTAAGTTCATTCGATAACTGAATATCGGTAATGTCTGAATAATATTGTTTCCCTGTTATATCCTTGTGCAAAACTTGAACTTTATTTGTTAATTAAATTTTATTAGTATAAATCAAGGTTCTAAATATCGGTTATCGGGTCTGAGGCGGTTAGGGACCGCCACACGATAAATCGGTGCGGCGGTGATTAATCGGAGATATATCGAAAATAAATCGGTTGTTAGATTTAATGAAATATATTTCTAAATATTATTTATTTATACTTAAAACGTATAAAAAAAATTGAACTTGATTCTCTCCTCATCGTTTATATAATCTAATCACATTACAAAAGTTTAACATTTAGAACTTAATTATCTCCTCATCGTTCTAAATGTTTTTTTTTTATGCCAAGTACTTCTTACGGGACCGGTGAGTTTGGGTTTGATTGAAAGAGATAATGGGTTGGAATTGAAAATAAAAATAAAAATAAAGATAAACACCATATTTTCCTTGTAATAAAAAATAAATAAAAAAGTTAGAAAAAAAATATTTTTTCGATATATCGCTCGAAGTTTGACCCGATATATCGGTTTGATCCGCCACAAACCGCCTCGGACTGCCTTACCATCAAAAAATCGATTTTCAAAACCGCCTCACAAATATCGCAAAGGTTTATATATCGACCGCCATAACCAATATTTAGAACACGGGTATAAATAAATAAACACAATTTTTGTTAATATGATCTACTTATATGATAAAATATAAAAAATATTTTGATACGAAATAAAATTAAATATTTAACATTAATAAAATATAAATTTTTAAATCAAACAATTAATAAAAAATAACTTTCTCAAATGAATATACAAAACCAAAAATGTAAATAATTATTAATAATTAATAATTACAGTTAAACCTGTATAAATTAATACAGTCGAGACCAGAGAAATTGTATTAATTCAGCGAATTATTAAATTATCGAGTTAATAATTTAATACGTTTTCACCGAGTCAGGACTGGAAGAATCTATTATTTAATCGAAATTATTAATTTATGGAGTATTAATTTATGAAGGTTCTACTGTAATAGCATAAATGAACCAATCGGTAACCCAATTGGACCATTTAGACCCATTTTGAAACCCGACCCGTTTGAGCTCTGCTAATTTGCCCTAGCAATTACAATAATGGAGTCACCACTGTTACTCCACTCGCCAGAATGTTTTCCTCACTGTCGAAACCCTTCTCCGCCCCCACCGTTAGGTGCCCGATTCCGTCGCCGGCATCTCACCGCCGCTCATTTTCAGTCGCCGCCGTGCAGATGAACACCAAGGAAGCGAAGCTCTGGGGCGGGCGGTTCGAGGAGAGCGTCACTGACTCAGTCGAGAAATTCACTGAGTCGATATCGTTCGACAAAGCTCTCTACAAGCATGACATCATGGGCAGCCGCGCCCACGCTTCCATGCTCGCTCACCAGGTATCTATCTCCATTAATCCACCGATTCATTTCTCCAATTTAAATTGATTTCTTTTTTATTTTTTCCTTTCGTACACTTTAATTGAGGGTTTGGGCATTGTAGGGTTTGATCACGGACGATGATAGGGACAAGATTTTGGACGGCCTGGATGCGATTAAGAAGCAGATAGAGAGAGGAGAGTTCGAATGGAGGACTGATAGAGAGGACGTACACATGAACATTGAAGCTGCGCTTACTGATTTGGTCGGCGAGCCTGCGAAAAAGCTCCACACTGCTCGGAGTAGAAACGATCAAGTTTGCACCGATTTTCGACTCTGGTGTAGGGACGCCATTGATGCTATTGTTTTACGTATTAAGCATCTTCAGGTAGTGTTTTTTATTTGATTGTTGTTTGATTGAATGATTGATTAAATTCGTACATGTTAACGCACAAATTGCATTTTCGGTGTTGACTAACTTTGACTTGGACACGTGTTTTGTGCATTCTTCAGGCTGCAATGGTGAATCTTGGGTCTGATAGTTCCAGGGTATACGCATTTGCAAAGGGCACAGCCTGTTCTTCTGGCTCATCTTCTTTTAGCATATGTTGAGCAGGTTAGTCGATTCCAACAGTATATAATTTTTTTTTTTTTGGTGTCATAGTTGATTCAAACTGCTAAATTTAGCCTGTGTGTGAAGGGATGCTCACATGTTTTCTTCTAATTTGTGCTCTTGCTTCTCGATATTTTAGACACTAGTAATTATTTTGGTTCTAGCATATTTACTCCCAAGATTGTTTATTCATATTTTGTATTTTTATGATCAACTTCATAAACACTAACTGGTTCAATAAAATGTTTTAGCTCGAGCGTGATGCAAGCCGTTTGCTGGACTGTCGTGCGAGAATGAATTTCTGCCCCCTTGGTGCCTGCGCATTAGCTGGCACTGGCCTGCCCATTGATAGGTTTATGACTTCCGAGGCTCTAGGATTCACTGCACCTATGAGAAACAGGTAAGTGTATATTTTTTGTCCATGAAAAGCTAAAGTTTTCTTACATGCATCTCTCAATTTCAATTTTTTCTCATCTTTTGGAACGGAATTGTTATTAGATTTTAACCCATATAAAAATGGATTTTCCCCAAAAGCGTTATCCCGATCTGATCCGTTTGATTTCTACCCAAAATTAGCACCATTTGTGGACCTCATGTTGTTTCATGTGCATATGACCATAATCTTGCTTGGTTTGTATTTGACTTTTATTAATTGCTGATGCTATCAGATTCCGTTGACAATTTCTTTTGTAGTTCCTTTAAATTCCTTTCTGTTCCCTCGATTTATTGGTGACATTTATATGAAACAGCATTGATGCAGTTTCAGATCGAGATTTTGTGATGGAATTCCTTGCTGCTAATTCCATCACAGCCATCCATCTCTCTCGTCTCGGCGAGGAATGGGTATTATGGGCATCAGAAGAATTTGGCTTTCTCACACCAAGTGACTCTGTTTCAACTGGAAGCAGTATAATGCCTCAGAAAAAGAACCCCGACCCAATGGAACTTGTCCGAGGCAAATCCGCCAGAGTTGTAGGTGACTTGGTTTCGCTTCTTGTATTGTGCAAGGGACTTCCTCAAGCATACAACCGTGATTTACAGGTTTAACATAGTAGCTCTTAATCCCGTTTCTTTTTTTCTAATTTATTTTATTATAATAATGTGTAGTCGTTTTGTCATTCTTGAACAGGAAGACAAAGAACCTGCATTTGACAGTGCGAAAGCAATAATGGGAATGCTTGAAGTGTCTGCAGAATTTGCAGAGAACATCACATTCAATCAGGAGAGAATTCGTAATGCTCTGCCAGCTGGTCATCTTGATGCAACGACACTTGCGGATTACCTTGTCAAAAAGGTATGTTCACATCCCTTTGTAGACAGCACAACATTCGACTTTCATTAATTCTAGTTTGTATCTCCTTAATTAGAAGTTAGAACTCTTTCTGCCAATAGGACATGAAAATTTCTTACGATCACTTGTCATCATAAAGAAGATCGAACGAGTAAAACTGAAAGTCTAGAACTACTTCATTGACATACACGGAAATGGAAAAAACACTATCTTGCGCTGACCCCCTTTTTTTTTCTTTGAATTCTATAAATAGACACAAAATATTCAATTCGAACCCCAAAATTACGCCATTTAGCTATGTTATGAGGGAATCTTATTATTAATTGCATGAAATTTTAGCCATTGATATTGTTGAACTTGTTGCTAATGGTGATATCGTAACTCTGTGTGTATAGGGAATACCTTTCAGAACTTCCCATGATATTGTCGGAAGGGCTGTCGGTTTTTGTGTGTCGAGAAATCGACAACTCGAACATATGACTCTCACTGACCTCAAGAGTATAAGCTCGACGTTCGACGAAGACGTTTACGATTTTCTTGGAGTCGAAAATTCAATTAAAAATTTCAGTTCATATGGCTCCACAGGCTCGGAATGCGTGTCTAGTCAACTCGATTACTGGGTCACTAAGTTAGACTTGGTCAGAAAATGAGAGGGAGCTAATCATGTATGTGGCTCAAATTATTATTAGAGAATTTAATTGTTTTTAGTTTTTTAAGATTTGATGATATTCATTAAAAGACTTTGATATATATATATATTTTTCTTTTTTAAGTTTTGCAATTTGTTTTCTAAATCCCTCTCTTACACGGATGATTTGATTAATTTAAGCATTTTGTTTAATATATGCTTTTTGTTGGGATTTGTATAATCTATTGGTAGAAATATTAATGCTATTTTAGTAATTTAAATTTCACAACTAATTATTTTACTCCGGTATTACTTTTTTTTTTTAAAATACAATATGATTATTATATATTTAAATTTTCTTCCTTTTTGCAGAATAAATAAATTGTTTTCGAAGGTATAACTGAGGAAAGTGGTCTTACATTGATGAGATTTCTGAGCTCACAAAGTCAAAAGTCGGTGAGAATATTTCCGACCATTTTCAACAATTTTATTGAAAGTTTAATTATTATACTATATTTATTTATTTAATATTTAATTTATAGCAAAAGCCCCAAAAACTCGTGGTGTGTTGTGCTAAAACAACACACATTTTTTAAAATTTGATAAAAATGGTCTACTTGTATTTATTCAGATACTTAATTATTTAGGTAGAATGTAATCATAATGACACAAAAATGCATGATCATTTTGATAATCAACTTAAGCAGTAGTTTAAGCCAACTTTTATCATGTAAAAAATCGAAGCTCTTGAAAATTAGTTATCGTTTTCGACATTAAATTTACGATCATTTTACGTAATAGTACGGATCAAAGTGTGCTTATCTGGACTAGGATTAACAAGTGAAGGTAATTTCATCATTCAATTATATAATTATGATCATAATTTTACGTACGATTTTTCGGGACTCGCCATTTGTCGTCAATTCTACCGATTTACGTACATTATTGTTTCTCTTATAAGCTTGTTATTGTACTGATTATTCAATAATTAAAATCAAAGATACATTTTTTTATTAGTTTTTTGGGAGTTATATGGGGAGGGACTAGCAGGAATCTTTGTACTTGGGACAAACCCTTTCCAGACATTGACAAAACTCTCTCTCTCTCTCTCTCTCTCTCTCTCTCTCTCTCTCTCTCTCTCTCTCTCTCTCTCTCTCTCTCTCTCTCTCTCTCTCTCTCGTAAGAAGATAACAAAATAATTATGCATGTACACATAATACATTCGGGTTCTTCGAGGGAGGACGAACCGGGGGAGGTTTCTTTCGCATTCTTTTCCCGACATATTTAATTTTTTTTTCTCGCTCATTTGTATTATTGTGAAGAAAAGAATTACACCATTTATTTAATATATACTATACATACAAGAAGTATAAATTTCCGAAGTTTGTGGTTGCGTATTTTTTTTTCGCTTCATTTCATTCGTAATTATTTTTTTTGGGGTTATGGACAGGTAATTTTTGTTGGGAATACTTTGTTGATCAACTGAGGAAGGTTTATATATACTATGCTGCAGAAACATTATTTATTAAACAAACATGTCCCAATAAAGGGGTTGTAAGAACTTAGCTTATATATATTATAAATGTCACGGACGATCGATCTACTATATATATACTCGATTCATCGTCTTAAATTTTTCGAGCTTATTGACTCTTCTACTATAAGTAACCGCGGTATAATTCGATTCTTCTTTACTACACATTCGTGTTATCTTGCATTGATATTCTTAAGGTTAGTTTGTACATGAATATACATAATTAACAGTGTAATTGTAACTATTTGGAACAGCCCGAATTAAGATACACCGCGTTTCGACATTTTTCTTTTCGATCTGCATCATCAATAATCAAAATCAATGGCGGCGGCTGACGATTCTGCGGAGACGATTTCCGGGCCGACAGGCGGAAATTTCATGAGGATACCTATATTTGTTTTCTTCAAAGATCTTAGGTAAATTAATTATTATTATTATTATTATTATTATTATTATTATTATTATTATTATTATTATTATTATTTTATGTCCTAATTAATTAAATTAAAGTTGCTAGCTAGCTACATTTTCATGCAAGCTCTAATTCATCTCTTTTTAATCTTATTATTACTATTTATTTATTTTTTACTTTTTGCCACTGATGATCTGTATTACTGTATATATAAATTATATTATTGAATAATAATATATTTCTGTATTTTTCTTTTTCTTTTTAGGTCTGTTTTCAAAAGAGATGAACCTTGGGATGGAAATATTACGCATTGCATTTCCGGCAGCACTGGCATTAGCTGCCGATCCCGTC